TCCCGTTATTTTTCGCGCGGGCGCGGATACGGGGGGGGGGGGGGGGAAAAAACAGGGGGGGAAGGGGGGGGGGGGGGGGGGGGGGGGGGGGAAAAGTCAACGCGGGCAGCTGGTAAGTGGATTGTCGCGGCTTCTCCGTGGAATCTCGGAGCGGTAGATCATACGGAGTGCCCTCCGGCTCGCGCAGGTTGCGCGCGGATAAAGGATAAAGCACGGCGACAACGCGGCCGCGGCTCTTACGTATGCACGAGCATATAAGCATAACGCGGAGGAGAACACGGGTAGATGATATCGTAGATGCACCTCGGGGCCGGCGGGGCGTCGACGCGATCCTTTGTCCTCGTTCCCGGGCCGGCTCGTTCCCTACCGACCGCGGTCACCTCGCTCCCCCGGGGTTCCGCGACCCCGACGGTGCGCGTTTCGCGGGAATATCTGTCCTGCTCGTGCCGTGCCCCAATCTCGTGCATCAATCCCGCCGAGTTTGTAAAATTACGCGGGACGTGTGCTCGTGCGCGAGCTACCGCGCCGCGCCGGCGAAGCCAAGGTATATACACGTAGTTCTACACGCAGTTCGCGACAAAAGGTTACGTACGTGCGTGGAGATATTGTACCCGCCTCTCGCTGCGATTTTCTTGAACCCACGAGCGACTGAGGTTAATGGAAAATTTGGGATGAGGGAAAGATGGCGGAAGAGGAGCTGGAGGAGGTACTCACCGTGCCGAACGTCTCGACTTCTCGAGCGCGCGGCCCTTCCGCGAACAACGCTCCGCAACACCAAAAGCACTCGCTCACCCGCGCGTGAAACGGAAACTTTCGAAATTCACTGCATGTACGCAATGACGGTAGACATGTTACTCCGACGCCGAGATTCGCTCTCGCGGCGAGCGAGAAGACGCGGATTCGCCGATTCGCTTGCATCAAACGACACTAAAACTTCTTAAATCCATGACATCCATGCACTGTATTCCGTGCGATAAGTCAGAGTTAATTCGAATCGACGCCACTTGCGAACGTCGAGAGACGCGATATGGATTCGGGATTTACATTACGCACTGAGACGATCGACCGTCGCTCAATTCCGGCACTCCCGACACTCGGTTCACAGACGAGATTCACAATCTTTCTTCGTCTTTAGTTACAATGGCTGCTGCCTCCTTTTGGAGCGCAATATGGCGAGGAGATTCACGAACGACGGGTTAGAGAACGCGAGAAACGCGGAGCGAGCTGAACGCAGCCCCGAATGCTATGGCAGTTATGGCACCAAGACGATCGACCGTCGTTCAATTCCGACACTCCCGACACTCGTTCGCGGACAAGAGATTCACAATTTTTCTTCTTCTTTTAATTACAATGGCTCTGGCCTTCTCTCGGAGCGCAATATGGGCCAGAAGATTCGCGATCGACGGGCTAGAGAACGCGAGAAACGCGGAGCGAGCTAAACGCAGCGTCGCAGCCCCGAATTCGCACTAATACTAATACATACTGACCGCGACTACGCCAATAGGAAAAATTTGGAAAGAGTGGGAGAGTGGGGGAGGGCGCACGCCGCGGCGAGCCGGGCGAGCGTCTCGCGAGACGCGCGTCTTCCAGGAAAACCGAGCCTAAAAAACGTAAACAACCTCGGCGACACAAATACGGCAGTAGAACGACGCGCAAGCGACGCTTTTTAAGCCGTTCAATTTCTCCTTACGAAATAATATAGGTAAATAGACTGTTTTTCGACGCGGCGACTGAGTGCCACGAGCAGAAATGCGAAACGCTTGTGATTCGGCTAAGTTCAGCGCGCCGATATGCTTCTCTCGCGCGACTGTAATGCGAAATTCATACGCGGAGTGTTTTAAAACATTATGTAAAAATGAGTTAGGGCCACTCGACCAAACTCCGATTAATTTAATCGTTGATTAGTCCATTGGAGATGATCAATCGCATTTGCTCATTAAATAGATTGACAAATGCGATTGGTCATTTCCAATGGACTAATCAACGATTAAGTTAATCGGAGCGTGGTCGAAGTGGCCAGAAGTGGCCCTTAATCCGTCTTGAATAGATTATTAAAGCGTTATTTCGACCCAGTTCCATACACATATATAACTCATTGTTCCGGGAATTTTGCGAACATCCCCGTTTTCGCATATCGCTTGTGTTCATTAGTCCATTGGAAATGACCAATCGCATTTGCTCATTTAATAGATTGACCAATGCGATTGGTCATTTCCAATGGACTAATCAACGATTAAGTTAATCGGAGCTTGGTCGAAGTGACCCTTAATCCGTCTTGAATAGATTAAAGCGTTATTTCGACCCAGTTCCATACATATATAACTCATTTTTCCGGGAATTTTGCGAGCTTCCCCGTTTTCGCATATCGCTCGTGTTCAATGAAGCTGGCGCCGCTCGCAGCGTGATCGTTTGACGAACGCATCTCCCCTCCCCCCTCTCCTTCCGATTTTTAACGGCTGTATTCGGTCCGATGCTCCGATCGCGTAGTGACGCGTAGCGCGCGACTCCGACGACGAATTTCGACCGTTACGCGCTTCTCGCGTCTTTTCATCCGCCGAATGTGAATCTCGCGTGCGAACGAGTGTTCGGAGCGTCGGTATCGAGCGATGGGCGATCACGATTAATGGCATTTCGCGACTCGCGACATATTCGAAGGAGGCGGCAACGCAATCTACCTTATTCGGTAATTGCATATGGCTGACTTCTCTGGTTCAACGATACGCAAGTGAGTCACGTCACAAGTCACAACCGCTTCTTTTTATTTGTTGAAAATAAACCTCGCGTATAAATGAACGCTTCGGAGTGCTGTACTTTTTGATAGACGGTCGGTTATTATTTTGGATTATTTCGCCCGGCTTTTCTGAGAAAGGGCGGCGTTCTCGCTCCGCTCCTCGCTCTTCCCAAATTTTCATACAAGTATACTTATAGTTGCGTTATATTCGCGCGAGTCCGAAATCGTGTCGAAATCGAAATTTTTTGAGTTGTGATTAGTATTTTTCTCGGGATACATTTCCTCGAATAATTTTCTTCGTAATTACGTTCTTCGTTTCGTGAGAATTTTGCGATATACAAAAACTGCTTAATTTAAAATCTAATGACATAATATAATTGGAAACTTTATATTTTGCAGGTGAGTTTGAACGGAATGTTTGGAAGCGAAAACAACGATGTTTATGCCGAAGTCAGAGAGGAGGATGTTCGTGCGACTGTTGCGGGCCACGCTCGATCATTACTCGTCGTTTCATTAGAATATCGCCGATAAAGGGGGTTTAATTACAAAGGTACCGCCTCGCTTCCGTTCCACGGATACTCATACGCGTGCAGGGCTCTGCGTGCCGCACGCAGGCATATACATACATATACCCGCCCTTCTAGCACTCTTGCTTCCTCCCCCTCCCCTCTCTTGGTTTACGTGTATTTCTACACATCAAGGGTGATTAGTAAGGTCGTTTTCTTAATCACGAGCATTGTTAATAAGAATCGCCGCTATTACAGGCGCGTGATTGTACAGCTAACGAGAGCTCAATGGTGTAACGCAAGGTGCACCGTAATAGTTTTTAACCCTTCGGAGAGACGGGGGGGAGACCGGAACTGAATACATATTCCTTAATTTTATACCAGCCACATCGCGCACTTAATATATGCGCATAATATAACGGGACATAATAATGTCTACAATGTGTTTGCGTAACGCGGTTCGACGTACATTACAATTCACGAAGTTGCGATATACAAATTAAGATGAAATATTTCGACAGGCCTTTCTTAAATTCTGTTTTTTTTTTCCCATTGTATCTACGATCGTCTAAATGAAAAGGCGAAAGACACGAACGTCTCAGTCACGAGATACGCACGTTTCTTTATACCTTACTCTCTCTTATGGGGCAGCTTTAAAAGTACACGGAAAATTATGGTCGATCATAAATTAAGGCAGAATTTATCGCGTCGGTTACTAATTGGTCGTTGAATAAATATAGAGGCGCGTGTTCCGGACGGTGCCCCGCGCCAACGTTGGCAGGGACAGATTACGATTTCGCCTGAACGTCTGTTAAAAAGGTTTCGCATGAAGCGCGCGTGTCGTGCGTTTTGATTCTATCCGATCGTAAAGAGCTTTACGGCGGGAAAGCGTTAAATGCACTCCGACGTTGCGACGCCTCCATTAGTATGTGCCGGCGCGTTTAAAATATGGTATTTAATCCGGTCGAACGTGAACGGAGATCACCGCGCGTTCAAACGTTGGATATATTCCGCGCAGAATAACGCTAAAAAGCATTTGAGAATCGTTTATTCAGGTGTAGGTGAATAATATATCGCTAACGAATGCATTAACACGGATAGATACTTTCGCGGCTATTAAATATACATATATAGCGTTCTATATATGTATCGACGATTTTAGCGAATATCTGACAAGCTTGTGAGCTGCTTATCAAGCGTGATTTGCAGAGTATGTTCACATCAATTTAAAACTAAAATAGCAATATACTTTGTATATATAATTACATTTTATAATTTATATATGTAAATTATAATTTATAACGATATACAGTTTATATATATATATATATAAATTATAAATAGCATATTTAATTTAGTAATAATTTATATTTACATATATCAATTATAAAAGTATAATTTGGTTAAATAATCTGGTTAAGTAAAAAAATTATAAATAACTTAACGTCAATATTTTTGCTTAAAATATATATTATATCAAATTATATAAATATATTTAAATAATATTAATATATATAAGTAAAAATTATTGACGTTATATTATAATTTTCTTACTTAATCATAATTATCCTTTATAATTATTTCTTGATTATTTTACACCTTATTATGCGACATTTACGTGCGTACGCTTTTATGTATATACATAAAAGAGCGAATCGAGAAAAAAAATTCAATCAGTCACCGTCCGCTCATTCTCGGTGGTAACTACAGCGAGCGCTGTTATCAACAGGCCGGATCGCGTCACGGACGGCCGCCCGCGCGCCGCGCGCTCCAGTGAGTCAGTTCGTCCAAGATGGCGACGCCCAGTGAGCTGTCTCTCGAGGAGATTCGCAACTATCTGCTGGAAAACGGGGGCACGGCGCGCAATCACGACCTGGTGAAGCATTTCAAGCGGTTCCTGACGGACCCGGAGACGCGAGGTGGGTTTCATTCACGTCGCCGCGTCCCGCTCGCGGCTGCCCCGTCGCGAGGCGTGACCTCCGCGTTTCGCTTACGCGGTGTAAACACGTAGGCAGCGAGCGGTCGACGCTGTCGTGACTGTTCAGCGTGGTGCAACGTGCGATTTTGTGTTACAGTCGAGGCGAGGAATCGTTTCAAGGAGTACGTCAATATCCTGGCCACCATAAAGAACGAGGAGGTAGGTCAATACGAGTCCTCTCTCTCTCTTTTTCTCTACGTCCCCGCGAGTCCCTCTCCGTCCTGACAGGAGCGACTTGTTGCGCGCCCGACGCGACGTTGCCGGCTCCGCTCGCGATCAGCTGAAGACGATCAGCTGAAAAATTCTCTCTGGAGCGGAGTCGTCGCGTTACTTGAAGAATCCTTCCTAGCTACTTTGAAATTGAGCACTACAGTGTTACATGTGGCGCAAGGATTTCGTGTGTGTAATTTTCTTTTTTTTGCAAAATTTCTAGAGAATCCACAAAAAATCCGGGATATTGTGGAATGAATAAAAATTACACAATCTTACTAGATTTCAGTAATTTTGCAAAATCCTAGGTTCTGTCAGTGAAATTGTGAGTTGAGATTTTTATTAATTTATATTTATAAATATAAATATTATTAATGTATTTTATAAATTGTATTTATATTTATATTAATAATTTGTATTTACTCCACAATATACCAGTTTTTTGTGCATTCTTTTTTGCAAAAAGACGAATCACACGAAATCCCTGCACATCGGTTGGTATTAGTAAATATTCAGAATGCTATCACGTGAATGCGTGCTATTGCGGTCTATATCCTCGAAATGAAAGCCGTTAGGCGTATCTGAGTAACGGAGAAAAGATTGCTGATGGGAGAGTTCTTTCTAATGTTCGATTAATTAATATTTGTAGCGCTGTGAAAAACCTTTTTTTTTTTAGAATTTTGTTGCGCATTGTCTTAGCAAAATTGCTGTTAAAACTGATTTCGCGCAACAATATTAAACTTTTTGTATTTACAATAGATCAATTGATTTGGACTTGGAGAAAGTACGATTTTAGCAGTAAGAAAGCGATTGTAGAGAATTATAGAAAGTTTAATGAAAAAGACACACTGTTATTTTTCATTTACTAGTACATTAAATGTGAGAATATTTGAGAAAAATTTATTTATTTTTTACGAGAAAACAGAGAAGTGGTAATTAAAATTACATTTTTATTGAATTCCTGGGATTTTTGTATTTCTTCGATAATTAACATGACAGAAAATAAAGTTAGCGAAACACGGGTTAAAATCTGCGTCGCTCCTGTCTACGAGCACTTTTTCACTCACGCGGAGTGCTCTCTCAAAGTGAACGTTTCTTAACAGGGTGAAAAGTACTTGGTCCTCAAGAAGAAATATCGGCAACCCTTCTTAGACCTTTCGCCCCCTAAGCAAGTGGCATCTCCCGTGGCCACCCCCGATTTAGCTACTCCAGTTTCTCCTTTACGCGAGCCTCCACCTTACCGGCCGCCACCCCCCGCGCCCCTCAGCCCGTCCTCGAGCAGTTCTTACGCGAGCCTCGAAGAGAGTGCGTCGCCGATATCTGTGCGCGAAAAAAATGACGACTCGGAGTCTGTCGGAGTGGCGTCGGTGTCATCGCCACCTGTTCCACCACGTCGCAAAAGTCAGGACAAGCTCAAGGTGGAGAACAAGGAAAACGTCGACAGAAACCGGAACAGCACTTCGGAAGCCGTTATAAAGGTAGGCTTCTCGTTGATTATCTTACTTATATTTTCTTGAAAGCATACTCACAACTGTTATCGATGTCGTCATACTTGCGCGGTTATCGCGTAACGAGGAAACGATGTATCATGCTGGTGATAAACGACTATATTTTCTATGAATTTATTTACGATGTCATATCAATTTATATAGTTACAAAAATAAAATATCTATTAAAAATTACAATATATATATATATATATATAATCATGGTTTTTATACAATAATTATATATTATTAGTCAATTATTACAAAATTTTAAATAAGAGATTTTGTTTGATATACAATTATTAGTGTAGTATCATGTGTATATTTTTTAAGATTATATAGATGGTTTCTAGTATTTTATATTAATAGTATAGCATTATCAAAATTATCTATTTATCGTTTGTTTACGTCTCTTAAAGACTCTTATTTTGGTAGTCGTTCTGAGTTGATTTGTCATCTGTTATTCATCGCGTTTGTCATAAATCCCGTATTAAATCTGGGAATCGAAACTGATAAATTCCAGGAGAATGAAGCAGTTACGACAACGAATCCTTCCTCGGCTGAACAGCTCAGCGTTCGTGAACGAATGCAACGTTTCAATCGAATGGCTAGCGAAACCGATCTTCATGCCCGTCCTAACGAAACGACTGTTCCTGCCAGAAAACGAACGGATAAGGTAAGTGCTGTATATTTTTGTTTTACAATTGTGTGTGTGTGTGTGAAGCGCTGCGAATGATATAGAGTCGCGAAAGTAAGTGGACAGAATAAAATTCGGAGGAAAGCGAGAGAAAAGAGAGAATGAGTTTGGAAAACTATAGTTTATACAAATAATACTGATTTGTAAATAATAAAATAAAATTTCGGGGAAAAAATCCGTACACAAAAATCCCTCACGTGAAAGAAAGACATTGGACTCTATATATAGATCAGAGTGTGTATTTTTAGAGTCTGTTATGTGTTGTCTTTCTCGGGGGAAAGACGTTTGCTACACCTCGGTTTCTTGGCGAGGGTTGAATCATGGCGCTCGTCGTGTTGTGACATCGCCAGGCAGCTTATGTTTTCCAAACACATGCGGGGACACAAAGGGTTCAGGGTCCCGTATTGAATTATCCCGTCGGGGCTTTAAATACTACGGACGAGCGATTCGGCACGGAACGATCCACGCGCGCGGATACCTATACATCCTTCGAAGGGCGGGAGGAAGGATGCGGTATGTACAAGGCTGACTGCCCATCTTGCATACCGAGTAGGTAGGCTACTAGGAATCCTTTCTCCGTATCCTTTACACGCGCTCTCGCGACGGTTCTCCCTTTCTCGCGTTCTCTCCTTCTCTCCTTCTTTCTCTCTCTCTTTTTCTCTCGCGCGCAATTTCCCATCTCTCTTTCTCCGTTTATCTTGTCGTTCGTGTGCCGTTTATCGCGGCGAGCAATATTCATCGCATTTGAATATCCTGCGGGCGGTATCTCGCGTAGCGATCAGGATGTTGCGCCGATGTTGCCGTAAATCATAATTAGCCGCGCCTGGAAATTAAAAGTAGAGGAGGAGAGGTCTCGAGATCTCGAGAGGAGAGCGGGGAACAAGCTCCTTTCCGCCGCAACCAACAAAGTTGGATGCAGCACCGGCAGGATGTGCCGCCCCGGCCTGTCCTGTACGCGGTCGATCCTCCATCATAATTTCGATATATTTATCGGATCTCACGATTAAAGGCGCCGGCCGGTTAAGACGCTCCACAAAGGAGAAAAGAAGCGGCCGTTTCACGCTTCCTTCGACCGATTATGACCGGATCGTGCTTTTGGCTCGCCCCTCGCGCGTGGCTGCGGCATAATTTATTTAGTCCTTTAAGGGAAAAACTAAAAATCTCACTCATTCTGTTGATAAAAATAATTAATACTGTAATTCCATCGATTGTTCTTAGCCGTAGATGACACTAAAATTTTTTTTCTACTATTATCAGAATGAACTATTACATAAGAGGCGTATCGTACATAACTTATTTGTAATATTATGGCTTTACGAAATTTGGATAAAATGTTAACGGCCACTGAAAGATTTCGACACATTCTCTCCTATACGACAGTTTCGTTACAAAAGGAAACTGTTTATTGCCGCGTGTATACATTGAATAGCCCGTGATAATTATGTATTACTCAGACACCATAGTCCGGTCCTGGCGAGCCGCCTTTCATATACGATTTGACCGGGCCGGCCGTTAATTTTTATTGCTTGTAGCGCGGAAAGGGTTTTCGGGTCATGCGGGGAGAATCCTCTCGCCTCCGGACATCCTGTAATCTCCTGGGAAGCCCGTGGGTAGAGCTCGTCGGCCTTTCTTTACAGTAATTATCATGCAACGTAGCCGCGCGATTCCGCCCTTTGCATCGCTAATGACCGTTTCGTCTAGCGCGGTGTCGCGTGCCGCGCCGCGCCGGTCTGCCGGCCAATTGCCGCGTCAACACATTCTACGTAGTTTTTCATCATATTTTCTTCGAACGGCTGATCGCGAGTCATTGAACGCGCGACAGGTTCGTCATGAAAGCTCATGACAGAGGAAAGCCAGGGTAATAGAGAAGTGCGAAGATGAAACATTCAGAATAGTTTGAATGAAAAATTCGGAATAGTCGATATATTATCTTTCAATTAATTAGAATTTTTTAATTATTTGCAAATATATTTATTTTATTTTAATTAAATTTTATCTTAATTCGTTCGTGTATAACAAACACTTTGTACTTTGATTTTTAGTATTAAAAATTCCTGACACATTTCTGTCACATTTAATCACCAAAGTAATGTAATGTATTTATATCAATGTAATACACGACTAATGTGGTCGTTTGTAAGCATTAGGCTTTTTCAACAGTGAAGCTTCTTGTCTATGTAAATGCGAGTACGGGTGGCGGGATATTTTATTTATCATATTTACTTCTGAGAATTCTTGCTTCAGTTTTTTATTTTGTATGTGAATATTTCTTTACGAAAATAACAAGTACTTCATGTATAAAATTTCTATTATCTCTGGCAATCATTCGTTCCGTCAATTATAAGAACATTGAACCGCGGATTTTGCGAATTATCACCATGTCGCGAAAATTAAGATTTTGACATTGTTTGTGTAGAAATGTTCGCGAAATAGGGAGGAGAGAGGGATCCTTTTACTTGGATAGTGCATCTCGCTTGTACGCTGGCGTATATGCGCGCGCGAATGCCGACGGCGCCTTCGTCGGAACGCCTAACAAGAAGCTCGCTTTTACTTCGGCACCTCGAGGACGCGTTCTAATTAGGATCACGCGTGTTTGCCTCTTATGCGAAGGGCGAGTCTTGTCGAGCGAGCCTCGTCCCTTCCCTCGCGAGCGCGGCAAAGAGAGAACGAGAGGGTGGAAACTCATCATAAAGGCGCCTAACACGGCCATGCCGAACTTGGAATTTCTGCCGTATAGTTCCGCATACATTAGGGACCTTGGGTGAAACTTGGAGGGTAGTTTGCCTCTCGGCAACGAAACCAGGCGAGGGCTCAAGTGAAGCGCAGCGTGCTATGCTGAGGGACGGCCGAGGGGGGAAGGGGAGGGGAGGAGGTTGGGTGTAAACCGCACAAAGTAATCTTACAGAATGTATATGCAAAGAGGTTCAACGGCGTGGCGAGGCGAGGTGAGGAAGCGAGGGCACAGCTTGCACATGATTCTATCCGCGACAATCTCGACAAGACACCTCCGCAGGCAAACTTACTTCGTGCAGCTTACTTCCGAAGCATCGTCGACTCTTGATCGAGCTTGATTATTCCCTCTAATTAGCTTGTGTTCAATATTTCTAATTCTTACTTTTGAAGTAAACTATTTGGAAGTAAATGAAATAAGATGTCTGTCATAATTCAAACGTTAATGTTGATATTACCATTTAAAAAAAAACTTAAAAAGAAAGAAGACCGCTTTCATATATTCATTATAGAGAATACGTTTACAGAAGATACGAAGACTACGAAGATTTTTCTTCGCAGTAGTTTAGATTCGAAATGTTAACATAAGATCAACGAAGGTTAACTACGAGTTATCTCTTTGCTATACAATTGCCTGATTATCTTTTAAATCTAAATTGTTGCTGCTTCTAAGTATATCTAAATATCAATCTGTTCAAGCTTAAGCGTGCTCCGTTGTTTATTCAAGAAATATTTCTGTCATTAATCAAACCAACGGCATAGAGCACTTGACAGGTGCATCTGGCCGTGGTAGTTTAAGTGCGTTGCTCGGTTTTCTGTGAGAAGAGAAAGAGAGAGAGGAAGAATGATAGATACGGAGGAAACCATTTATTCGTTCCAAATGGTCGGCAGATACGCAGATAGCACGAACAGTGATGGAAATAAAATCGTTTACATCTTGTTCCTTTAATTAGGCAAATTCACTTGGGCAGGAGTGCCAGCTGATAAGTGTCTTTGAGATAAGCCCACTCATTACCGTCAGGATTTATCGATGTAGTCGATGAACGCGCGAGGTATTGCTCTCCCCCGCGTAGATCCTTTTTTTCTCCATCATCACGCTATCTCGTATAACACGGGAAAACCGCGTAAGTGCCGGTGGTCGTTCGCGGGAAGATGCATTCGGGTAGCGCGCATCTCTTGTAGCGCCGAATATGATTATCGGCTATCGAACGTTCTACACGTAATCGAGTAAATTATGGTGCAGCGCTTAATACGCACGGCAACACCTCATCGGAGGATAATTAAATATCGCCGGTTAAATTTAATAACCGGCCGGATAATTGCGGGTTGCGAATGCTAGCGCGATACCCGACGCCCGATGATAACTCACCCGCGGTCTCGTTAATAACACGACGTTGAGAGATCTAGCAAAACGTGATCCCTGGGCGACCCAATTTTCTTGGCACTACCGCCAGATGCGTGCGTACGGACTCATGCATAGTTTTCGTGCTTGCACAGCGCGCACCAATATAAACAAGCTTGTCTACAGAAGTAGTTAGCACCCACTGTTTCCGTGTAACGGGCGACTAGATACACTTCTAACAGGTCCGCCGACATTTATTCCGGCCTATTACGAGTTAATCTTGAAGGCACACACACCGCGTATTATCATTTAAATTGGTGTCGTTATGCACGCGGCATTAAATTTGTTTGCTCAACGGCGGCGACGCCTCGCTTTTGCCTCGCCTCGCTTTTACTTCCGCGAGAATTCTTTAGGCCTTTATGTGATAATATATATGTGGTAGGTAGGGCAGATGCCTACGCAAAGGGCGCGGGGGAAAACGGCAAGCGGTTTACAATGGGTCGCTTGTTGTCTTCTCATAATTCCTATCGTCTATCACGTTTCCATACCAACTTAGGCTTCTGGTCTTACGCTAATCTATCAACTGCCGCATCTCCTCTTGGAGAAAAGATCACGAGGCGGATAACAAGATTTCTTTTTCCCTCTTGAGACGCGCGCGTATATTAAATCAGTCTCGTTGATTGCCTTCTTCGTTCCCTGGCATTCCCGGTGAATGGCAGACCCCGGTATTCATCCACGGGAGTCTTGTCTCCCGTAGTGACAGTCCGGAGACTATACCGAAAACTGACTGATTGTGACTGTCATGACAGCGGCGGACGGGGCGCCGCCCTTCCGGGTCGTGGGGCCCTTCTTGGTGGTCCGATCGTGGGACCGAAATTTTTGTATTATTGTCTTGTTGTTTTTCTCT